GATTCTTTGCGGTCGTTTTTTCCGATTCTTTGCGGTCGTTTTTTCCGATTCTTTGCGGTCGTTTTTTCAGATTCTTTGCGGTCGTTTTTTCAGATTCTTTGCGGTCGTTTTGCTTCTTTGTGGTCGTTTTGCTTCTTCGTGGTTTATTTGCATTTCTTCGTGGTAGTGTTACGTCCAGTCCAAGGGTCACAGTAGGCCTGTTCAGTTATCCGTACATACAGTAATACCAAAATGCCAAGTACCTATCACCTACTGGGGGGTGTGGGGGGGGGGGGGGGGGGAGAATCCCTGACCACAGCTGTGGTTTCTGGTGTTAAAAAAGTAAAAAAAGTGTTAAATAACAGCAGAACTAAAAAGCTGAAGACAGACAAAGAGAGGGCAGGCTGGGGGGAAACGAAGGAGCAGAGAGAGGATGAAAGAGAGACGTTAACTGCTGGAGTGTGACGGAGGTCAGACTAATCAGCTCCACATCACAGGACACCAGGAATGAGACGAAACAAGAGACAGCGGTCCTCTCTGGCTTTTTAACAAAACATCTTCTTCACTGTCTGCTGTTAAACACAAGTTGTTTGTGTTGGGTTGAATGCACATCTGTCTCCATGTCATTCTGAGCAACATATCCTCTGTCTACATCCATTAATGTGGAAATACCATAAATACCATACACCACGCACACAGGAGGGGATAGATCATCATAACGGCATTTATACAATGCAATGAAAACGCCAAAACGCTGTTTAAAGTTAAAGGCCCCTAAAAGTTCTACAAACGTTCTGTACCAATCAAGAGGTGAACACGAGTCCTTTTGTTGACCCTCTGTGTGATTTGTAGCTCTCTCTCTCACATTAAAGTAGCTCTTAACAAGCTGCTTCACCTCCTCACAACTCCACTGACTTCTCACCATTGACCTTCACTCATATTCAGCTTTTAAAGGACTCAACCTTTGGAGGACAGGACGTCTCTGTGACCACCAAACCCTCAGTAAGAAGCACCACACACACACACACACACACACACACACACACACACAGTATAAAACACAGAGTTAGCTGGTGCACATCCATCACTCTGACTCTCTGCTGGTTTCGGTCCCACAGAAACAAAAGAGTCTTTGTTTTGGATCTGGACTGGATTCTCCGTCTCTGCAGCCTCGCCAACTTCCCCACACGAGGATTTAGGAATCAGGCAATGAAAGAAAAAAAAAAAGGAGGCGTGAGTCGAGATAGATCCCAGAGTTTATGAATCAACCCGCTCACCAGCTGCAACAGAACCACCAGAGACCACAGACTCTCAGGAGGTCTCAGGAGGAGTTAGTCCTCATCATGGTTTCTAGAGGAGGATCACTGCTTCAGTAATCTCTCACTGGTTGAATTATGCTCGATGCATTTTGACCGGAGCTGAAGTTATAACCTTAAAAACAACCAAAGTCCATGTAGAAGAAGCGGACGTCTCTCGTTGGTTTGTGGACGTTTTGAACTCCAGTTCAGCGATTTGGCCACCGCCATCTTGTTTTTTATCAACCAGTGAACAGGAAGTGACCATATCTGGACTGAGGAGGAGTGACGTACAGACGCCGTATACGTCTCTGGTAGAGACCTGTCAATCACTGTGTAGCCCCGCCCCAAAGCATCCCCTGCTTTATGGTCTGTGTGACTCTAAATGGACCATAATGTACTAAATGAACATCATGCTGTATTGAAGAAGACTTGAAACTAGAGATTGAGACCATAAACTCATGTTTACAATGTTTACTGAGGTAATAAATCAAGAGAGCATAGAATTATAGGGATTTATAGGAAATTATTGGTAAATAATGGGAATAAAATGGGAATAACGGGTCGACTTTCACCATTTTTTAAGCAGAAAGAAACAAACCTTTTGAAAGAAAATCATAAACTACAGCGTGAGATGTAAACGTTAATGGCGGACGCACTTCCTCCTGCACGGTGATACGGTGAGCGGGTTTATTTCGGTAGAGAGAAAATAGTTCCCGGTAGTTTTGATTTTGGGGTGAACTGTCCCTTTAAAGTCAGTTTAGTTTAGTTTCTCCACCTCTAAGAGCCTCTTAACGCGGAGAGGTTTCTGTCACACACACTGCTCCAGACTGTCAGCTGATACGTATACAGAGTGTGTGTGTGTGTGTGTGTGTGTGTGTGTGTGTGTCGAACCTTTCAGATGGGAGTCGTGGGATCGAGCCAGATGCTTCACACTGTTGATATCCAGAGAGTGAAAATGATGAAACACCTGACAGCTAGCGGTGACATCACCTGCAGGGAATCCGATTGGACACACACACACACACACACACACACACACACACACACACACACACACACACACACACACACACACACACACACACACACAGCGTGTCTAACATAATGGAATTCCTCAGCCCCCCATGAGCTATGGGAGGCTGAGGGTTGAGTTTCCTGACCGGGGGGGGGGGGACAAAATGCATTGTGGGAAACAGACTTCATACGGAGAAGTCTTGAGGAGAGAAACGTCCGACATGAATAAAGAGCTTCAGGGATGAAGTACAGGAAGTCGTCATCACTGGTGTCCTCCACTAACAGCCAATCAGATTCCTCCATTTGGATTATTACAGAAAATAAACAGACGTTTCTGATTCTTCCAGCTTTAGTTCATCAAGATAATCTTCACTAATGAACTCCACTTTGATGTTTGAAGTGAAAAGCAGGACAAGGAGACGGGACGAGGAGTCAGGACGAGTAATTATATTCTATAAAGTGTTAATTGATATATTTATAATTGATGTTCACTCTGCAGATTATTCTCACTTTGATAACAAACGTGTGTCTCCTGGAATCTGGCTGACATTTATTTTGAAAATCCCTCGTTTGCTTCACATTTGGAGGCCGATCTCCGAACACACACACACACACACACACACACACACACACACACACACACACACACACACACACACACCAAGAGAAGAGCCATGGAGGTCAATCAAATCCCTCATTACGAGTGTCTTTCATTTGTATTGCTGAGAAAATTAAACGTGTTCCTCATTCTACAATTAGCAATATACTTTTATTGTGAAATTTCTAGTTTTATATGAATATTTTTGTGGTATTTTCTCCTACTTTGTATATTTTGACTGTGACTCTTAAGTGTGTGAAACACCCGGTGGCAATCCAGAGTATAATAAAAAAACAAAAAGCTTCTGTGCATTGAATTGATACTGATTTAAAATACCTTTCAGTGAGAAATGACGGTCTAACTGAGGCTTTCAGGAGGTCTGAAGCGTCAATCAAAGGCTCCTGGGCCTTCACACAAAGACACTCTGCTGTCAATATGTTACATCTTAAAGTGAATGTAAAGATCTTTGACCTGGTCCTGAACCAGTCTCAGTTTAGTCCTGATCCTCTATATATATAATATATTATATATAGAGGATCAGGCTTTTATTGTGAAAGGTACGAATGAAAGGAGTGGATCTGGTCTGTAAGAAGCAGTCAGACTTCTTTCAGACTGTAAAGTTACTACTGTGACGCATCATTAACACACAGCTGACAGCTGCTCTCACACACACACACACACAACCTGGAGAACACACAGGTACAATGAATGAGAACAAGCAGAAGGAAAGAACCTCCTCACTTCAATTTCACAATTTATCCACAAAACTTCAAGATATAAATATAATTGTACATTTCTTAACAACAAACAAGCAACAGCTGTATGAACACTGTATCAATAGGTCATTATTTGTTGTAGAATACAGAAAGTCCTCTCTATGAAATATAAAGGTTTATTTGAGTGTCTGTATTTCTAAGAAGTGGAGAACTCGTTCTAAAGTCAAAGGTTTGTTGACAGAACATGAAGAGCTGCTGAATGAAAGAACTAAACCTGCAGTAAAACATTATATTATTATATCAGAACCTAGAACTCCTGTCGGCTGGTTTCAAACTCGTCACCTTCCTGAACAAACCTCTGATGACTCACATCAAACAAACAGAGAGGAAAGAAAACCCAAAGTGTGTCACTTCCTGTCTGAACTCCTCCCGTGACTTCATACGACATTTTGGAAAATCTTCAGCATCTCAATTAGATGAGAAGATTCAGACCGATAAAGACACATTTTAGATTAAATCCTTTAAATGAGGAGCTTAGAAGAGCCTGAATACTCCAGAGGAAGTCTATAGATTACACTCAGTGTGTGTGTGTGTGTGTCTCAGGCCTCGGCCAGACAGCCCATGACCTTCAGCATCAGGTCCTCCTTCCTGTGTTTGGTCCTGATGAGAACTCCTCGTTCCTCCAGCCAGGACAGCAGAGTGGAAGAGTTCACCTTCGACAACTGAGAGAAGAGAGAACGGAGAGATGAAGAGAGAGAGAACAGAGAGATGAAGAGAGAGATACAGAGAGATGAAGAGAGAGAGAACAGAGAGATGAAGAGAGAGAGAACAGAGAGATGAA